ACCCTAAATTTTATTAATAAAATTATACAGTATATGGTGCTCAACACCATAGATATATTTTATGTTACAGTATTGTAATTTGCACTAATTATACTAGCTTGTACTTTTTTAGGTAGGTTAGTCATGTCACAAAAATTATTGAAAAGAGGTTTTCCCTTGGCGGCACTCATAAAAAAACTTATATTATTATTATTATTATTACGTATTAAGTTAACGTTTTTATTCATACGTACTGTACAGCTAAAAAACTTTATACGTAGCACAATAAATAGATCATCTATAAATTTTTTTTTTGTCCGACGATCTTATTTGAATTTATTCTATATATCGATATCCAGCTATTTAAAGCTTAGTTATAGCTACAATTCTTTCTTTTTTTCTTGGTTTATAGCATGCGATTACATACAATTTCCTGTACTTTTTTTGGACTCATTTGGACATGGGGTTTTTCAATCACTCCAATAGCGCAAACATTATTATCAAAGCAAGTAGCATCAATGACCGATCAAAGAAGATTGGAACTAATGTATGTTCAAAATCATAATTCGTCCTCGGTTGTTCAAGAATAATGCTTCTATAACGGATTTAAATTTTTAGGGGTGAAGCAAAGGTATTAAAAATTCATATCGGTGAGTCCGCTAGAAAATTATAGGGGGAAAGACTGTAGTGGTTTTCCTCGCTTAATTGTTTGCGCATTTCTAGGATATGTTTTATCACGGATTCAATAAATATATGAACCATGCTTTCCCGAAAGACGAGGTAACAAACAAAATCTTGTTTATAATGGCTTTATATTTTACCAACTATTATAACGTCTTCTTATATAGCTGAATCCCTTAAAATGTTCTGGGAGAGGAAGAGATAAAACTAATCCGTAAGACATATTACAATCTTTTTATTTTAGTTTCGAATATATGCATTATATTCATTTGGGTTTTTTTTTAATTACAGAAATAATATAATTATAAATGACGTCCTTGGCGATTACTCATTAACGCTAGTTGATTCACTCGATTCTTTCGTGGTATGCATTATCAAAAATAAATGATACTATATTTTTTAATAATGAAATAATTAATGTTATATTTTATTTAGGTTTTTAATGATAAGGCGGGGTTCGAAACCGCCATTCGTAATGTTATCGAACATGTTTCATTTAATGTAAATAGCAAAGTACAAGTATTTGAAGCAAATATTCGTGTATTGGGTGCGTTGGTACGTAAATCATTTTAAGTTGTTTTTTTAATGACCTGTACAATTTATATATATCTCAATTTGGTTTGATCGTATTAGTTGTCCGCGCATTTATTTGCGACAGATTCACGCTTTGATTTCAAAATTGATGGATATAATAATGAATTATTAGAGTTGGCATATGATTTAGGCCAAAGGTTATTACCGGCCTTTCAAAATTCAAAAACAGGGATTCCTTATCCAAGAGTGGGTATTATAAAAAATAAATAAATAACATAAAAATAAGAAAACTTGGAATATGTTATATTAATTATAACATTTGATAAATAAGGTTAATTTGAGATACGGCGTGCCCAAAAGCGAAACGCAAGAAACATGTACTGCTGGCGCTGGAACTTTAATTTTAGAATTTGGCGTCCTCAGTAGGCTTATGAATGATACAAAGTTTGAGGTACATTATTTATGATTATATTTACTCGTTTGCGGTGAATTTAAGAGATATGCTAAATAAAGTTTTAATTCATAGAATGTGGCACGTCGTGCGTTATTTAGCATTTGGAACAGACGAACGGATCTAGATCTTGTTGGAAATGTTATAAATATTCAGACTGGCCAATGGATTCATACTGCTGCTAGCACTGGGGCTGGAATTGATTCATTTTATGAATATTTACTAAAAGCTTATGTGCTTTTTGGAGAAAGCGAATACTTGCATATCTTTAATGAAGCATATTCCGCAGTTCTCAGATATATTCGTGATGAAACTGGCTATTTATATAGGAATGTGAATATATTGAATGGAGGGCTGATGTCTGCTTGGGTAGACAGCTTATCTGCTTATTTTCCTGGCTTACAGGTAAATTTAAGTTGTAGTATAGCTTTTTTAATATTTTCGATAATTCTAATGATTATAGTTCGCTTATTTAGGTTCTCGCTGGCGATCTGGATAATGCAATTAAATCACACCTATTATACTACAATATCTGGAGAAAATATCGAGCCCTCCCGGAACGATTCAACTTTCATCTAAGAAATGTTGAAATTGCATCATATCCTCTAAGGCCAGAATTTATAGAATCAACTTACTTTCTTTACAGAGTAAATGCCCATTAACTTTATGTTAGCAAAAAGTTTGAATTCACTTTTACTATTAATCTATAATAATTATCATTTAATGTAGGCAACGAAAGATCCATTTTATCTTCGTGTTGGTGAGATGGTTCTTAAAGACTTACAATCATACACTCGTGTCGAATGTGGTTATGCATCTGTCAAAGATGTTCTCACCAAGAAGTTAGAAGATCGTATGGAAAGTTTTGTGCTTAGTGAGACATTCAAATATTTATATCTATTGTTTGATACCGGTAAATTCGAGTATTTCATTAGTGTTGTTATTTTAATTAATCTGAAAGTTAATATTTAATACATATTTTAGAACATATATTCAATAAATTAGATGATAATTTTGTTTTTACAACCGGTATGTAATAAAGAAAATCTTGTATATGAACCTTTTTTTCTTAAATATCTAAACCCTAAATTTTGGTTCCTAGAGGCACATATTTTCCCCTTGAATGCACAATATTGGAAAAAAACTTGGAAACATATAGACAATTTTACATGCAATGCATATAAAAACCCCAAAAAACTCACAACATCTATTTTAGAACGTCCAGATGCAGATCTTGCGAGAGAATTGGTTGGATTCGAAGGTTGGTATAGTTTAGCAATTATTGTACGATCTATTCACAACTTTGCTATACCATATAAACTTATTGAATGCTTGCAACCACTACATATTTCTTTTTTTCACAAATTATCAAAATACATGTGATATAATATGTAGGTTAGGGAATAAATATAATTTATTTATGCATAAAATTTTAGTGTGCAATTGATTTTAGAACATTTTGAATTAACAACTTCGTCATGTGTCATGTTCGTTTTTGAAGATCTGTCTTTACCACATTTAGATCCTTATGGTTATTGTGAAGCTCCGCAAATGGAACCACTGATAATAGACGTAAGTTATGATGAACCACCTGAATCAAGTATGAATCAAGTATGTCAGATGGGCAATTAGTAATTCATGTACAGTACAACGAAAAAAACTGACAATTTAAAAATATTTAAAAAATAATTTAAAACGTTACAGCCTATATAATAGATTTGTTTAAAAAATCAGTTTTTATTTTTACAATATTTTACATTTTTTAAAAAAAATAAAAATTTTTAGATTTAACCAGAAATGAAATTTTAAGATAAAAGAGGAATTTTATACAACATAATGTAGATTTGATATAAGGTCCCTATTTCAGTTCTCGTGAGGTTTTTCGATGATCCTGAACATTTTTACTTAGAATATCTTATCTTATTTATTAGTATATTTTTGAGGTATAGCACCCCGGTGAATTTTCACCTCTGGAATACCCCAAAATTTAATTATATAAAAATGATTGGATTTTTATTCATATAAATTTAGGTAATTTACGTACGTAGGTATCAGAATTAGGATTAGAGTTAGGGTTAGAATAAGTAGCTTTTTATAATAGAATTTTATTAAAATATGTAGTATTTTTTAAAATCTTAACAAAAATAAATTAAATTATTGAAGCAAATTTATTTATATTTGTAATTTTAATACTATATATAGTTATTAAATATACTGTATATCCAGTATTAAATATATAATAGTTTTGATTTAGCAAATTATAAATTATGTTATAAATTATGTTATAAATTTGTAGAATTACAAAATAATGGAATTTTTTTTTAGTATAAATTAGTATTATAAAATTATAATATATAAAAACTACCAATTTTGGGTTAATTTAAATTCTAATTCTTATCACAGTATAAATTTGCTTAAATTAGTTCAAAATAGCCAAATTTTATATTCAATTTAAAAAGTTATAAATTTTATAAATTTAGGCTACAGATACCGTATTTTTCCCAAAATAAGCTACCACCTAAAATAGGCTACCCCCTCTTGTTCAAGCAAAAATCTTAAAAATGTCTTTAGCCCAAAAGAAGCTACTCCTAAATTTTTTAAAATTTTTTTAACAGTTACTATATATAAAGTCAAAATTGTACTAAGTAAATATATGTTTTGCACTTAATAAAAGTTGTTCAGAATTTAAAAATACACATTTTTTGAAAGTTTCATACAATTTTAATAACTCTTATTAATACATTTTTGCATATTAAGTTCAAACTTTACATGCAAAATATTACTAATAAAAAATTATCCAAATTGTATACAATTTTCAGATATGTGTATTTTTTAATTCTAAACAACTTTTATTAAGTTTATAACATATATTTACTTAGTACTATTTTGACTTTTATATATAACAACTACTTTTACTTAATAAAAAA